TGGATAAAAATGTGGATGGCTTCTGCTGCGTTCTGATGAAAAGTAGGTATTTTCCTAGCTTCTTTCTTCTCCGATTTCCAAGTCACTGAGAACAGTGGTGAGATTGGACCAGAGGGCATAGAAACCTGGCGGCAGAAGGCAGTGGGTGGTGAATGGGTGCTGAATGGGTGTCGGAGAGAATGAACTCGGGGCAGAATGCTGTAGTTAGGAGGACTTGGAAGGGAACAAAGTTTGAAGTGCTTTGGGGAAGCTGAGAGCCCTGCTAAAGCAGGAATATACCAGATGCTTGTCTCAGATAGTATTCCGTAGTGAACCACACCCTGAAACAATCAGATCATCCTCGCCTCTCCCACTTGGATCTGTAGCTTCTGGTGGAATTTGCCAGTTCTTGAAATAAACTGAAATACAGTTGAAGCTTCTGACCTCATTTAGATCATTTGTGCTGAATTCTGAATAGAACCAGGAAAATTGGGAAGGGGGTAGAATTGGGGTCGTAAGAGAAGGATCTTAGTTTTAGGAAAGAAGGAAGATAGTAGGAAATGAGACCAATGAGTTAAGAGGCATTTGAAAAGGAGGATTAGAAAGAAAGAGAAAAAGAAGAGAAAGTTTTTGCTAGTATCTTCTGCTAAGATGTGTGACTGACACACAATTCATACACCACACTTGAGTTGAAGTCAATAAATGAAAGGAAATTTGGAGTTGGAGGCCTATTCCTTGGAAACTGCTACAGGATGGTGGTAAGGCAAGAGTGCTCTGTACTTGACAAGAGGGGTGTTTCTGTGTTTCTGTGTTGCTTATTTTATAAAGAGGCAAAGGGGCTTATTTCTGAGCGTGCGAAGGAACTCTGCACTACCAAGTATAAGGCAAGTCTGATCAGACTGGTGAATGGTGTGACACCAGTTTGGAGGGGAGGACAGGAATTCGTGTCTTGTGGACATGAGTTGGCTGAGACCACCCAAGAAGGTAAGCAGTGATGACTAGGGAAAAGAGACAAAGGAAGAACCACTACTCTCAAGGGAGAAGAGACATTGAGGGACAATCAGAGGGATGGAGGTAAATCAAGTTCTACCAAGCAGAGAACAAACTCTAGGGAAAAGTTAATTCACTTGGAGAAGGAATCTGTTCCTATTGCCTTTGAGGACACTTTTAGACACCTTTAATATATTGAGTACTTTTTTATTGGTGTTCATCATAAACAAGAGACCCACAAATACATCCCAGAGGTGAATTTTTGGTCTAATTGATCATGATTGCCATTAAATAATCTGGTAAAAGCCCACAAAATGGAACTTAGAAAGACAGAAAAGCAAAAGACAACACAGGTCTTTGTGCAGAGTTCATACTTGAATTTCAACAACATGGAACAAGTAACTTTGTTAAAATGTACAATTAAAGAATTGATTGTACTCGAGGGTCCATATGGATCACCTGGGATCTTGTTAAAATGTTGATTCTGGGGACACCTGGGTGGCTCGATTGATTAAGCGTCTGCCTCCAGCTCGGGTCATGATCCCAGGGTCCTGGGATCGAGTCCTGCATCGGGCTGCCTGCTCAGCGGGGAGCCTGCTTCTCCTTCTGCCTGCTCCGCATGCCGCTCCCCCTGCTTGTGTGTGCTCTCTCCCCCTCTGACAAATAAAGTCTAAAAAAAAATCGTTTAAAAAAATGTTGATTCTGATTCATCAATCTGGGTGGGGCCTAAGACTCTGCATTTCTAACAAGCTCCAAAGGGATACTGATGCTGTTGGTCCTTGAAGCACACTTTGGCTAACAAGGACCCACACAGGTACTCTTTGGGACGCCTTGGTAGCCACGCTAAGTTGGACGTAGTTTAACTTATCCACACCTACCTACCAGTTTATAATGAAAGCAAGTCTCAGAACTAGCTATTTCACAAAAGAACATTTATTAGCCACAGGGCACAGAACAGCCTTAAGGCGAATGCAAAAGGCAGAGCGAAGTCACAGCCCTGCCTTCGTGAGTGCTTGGCGGATGAGCCTCACAACGCACACTAGCCCGGGCCCCTCTAACAAAGGGGTTCTCAGAGTGCGGTCCCTGGACCAGCAGCATCAGAATCACATGGAAACTTGTTAAGAGATGCACGTTCTCAGACTCTCTCCAGATCTACGGAATAAGAATATCTGGGAGCAGGGTCTGGGAATCTGTTTTTTAGCTCGCGGCCCCACCCCGGTAATTCTGATGTATGCTCAAGTTTGAGAATCGCTGCTCTAACAGCAGGATTCTGTGGAGCATCTCACTGAATTCAGGCAACCAACAGTTCAGTGAACTACAGGTGGACATTTTGGAATCCAGCCCAGGGCACCGTTTCTGTAGGTGGAGAGTCTGATCGATTCTTCTCATATCCTCATAATCAAAGGGCAGAGACTGTGTCTAAACCCGTTTCAACAGTCCTCCTCTTTGGCAAACCACTAATATCACCAAAGCAAACCTGTCTAACATTAATTAGGATAATTTATGAATCCCTTGGTGGAATCGGAGCTAAATATAGCTGAAGTACTTAGGGTGGCCACCTCTGGGGTGAGGCTTTTTTGATGAATTGCTAGCCAACCACCCCTAGAGCGTGCATGTCTGATTAAGGCAGCTGACCACCTCTGCAGTGTAACTTAAGCTAACACACACACACACACGTCATATTGTACTGTCCACGTGAGGGTTTACTTTAAACTCTTAAAATGTGCTTTACGAAGGCGTCAGCTACACACGATAAAATGCATCCCTTTGAAGTGTATAGGTAGAGTTTTGACAAATGCATACACTCAAAAACCTCCACACCAATCAAGATATGTAACATTTCAATCACCTAAAAAATAACCTTGTGTTTTTTTAAAGTCTGTTACCCACCCTGACCCCCCACTCCAGGCTGCCAACGTAGTGGTCTTCCGTCAGCGTAGGTGACATTTGCCTGTTCTAACGTTTCACATAAGTGGTGTCCACCAGTATTTCCTCTTCTCATCTGGCTGCTTTTACTCAGCACCATCAGTTCTGCGGGACGGTTGATGTTGGTGAATTATCAGTATTTAGTTCCTTTTCACTGCAGATGAGTGTCCCACGGTAGGACTCTGCCACAGTCTGTATTCTCCTGATGATTTGTTGCCAGGTTTTCACTGTTAGGGATAAAGTTATTACTTTGGACACTCACATACACATCTTTCTGTGCACATGTCTGTATTTCTTTGGGGTAAATCTCCAGGAGTGGAATATTTGGGTCCGAAGAGAGATGTATGTTTAATTCCGTAGGAAGCTGCTGAACTGGTTTTCCAAAGTGGAAATACTGGTTTACGTTCCCACCGGCACTGTGTTGAAGAGTTCCAGTCGCTCCACATCCTCGTCAGCATTTAGTACTGTCCGTTTTTTTGGGTTTCTTTATTGTCAGGCTGGATATTTTCAAATACATGACAGACATTGTTCTTCTGTCCCCTAATTTCAGTTGAGGTGTTTGCGTTAGGTCTTGGCAAAGGCCCTACAGCTAATGATGTTGACCCGGGCAACTTGGATATGCATGACCTCATTTCTCTTTCCTGAGCCCCAGTCAGAATTGGTTTTGCGGCTGCCATGTGATTGTGGCAATTGGACATTTGCCGGTGTGTTTTGTTCTCTCTCTCTCTCTCATTCGTCTGCTCATTTATTCATTCCGTCTGTCGGTTGTTCAATAGCTGTAGTAGACTTGCTTTTTCAGAGAGCAGTTGTCTATTAAGTCCCTGGGAAGAAGTAGGAGACAGAGTACTTGTCCTCAAGGAGCTTTTTGGAACTGGGTTCCCGAAACCCAGCTCCACAGACATGCCAGCAAAGACAGAAAGCCCAGTGTATTTCAAGGCTTGCACACACTTGAATGAGAGCATCATGGAAATAAAGCTCAGGGCTGGGTCAGGCGAGTGGGGGGCTTGATAGACAGGTGGCTTAGAAACCACAGTAGCAGAGATTGTTGAGACGTTCATCTGTGCTCAGTATTAGAATGGTGGCACCTTAGAATATAAACTAAATGTTTATTTTAGTCCTGATTACATTTTAAAATACATCTCACGCACACAGACACACACATACGTTGGATAAAAAATTCTCAAAATGTTGACGGTGCCTCTCTTTGTGTCATGGGATTATGGATGATTTGTTTACTGGATTTTATATTTTTCTTTGATTTCGAAGTTTGCCACAGTGAGCACGTGTAACTTTTACAATCAGAAAAAAATATTAAATGGGTGGTGGGTGGTAAGGAGGGCTCGTGTTGTGATGAGCACCGGGTGTCGTATATAAGTGATAAAGCACTAAATTCTGTACCTGAAACTAATACTGCACTGTTTGCTGACTGACTGGAATTTGAAGAAAAACTTGGGAAAAAAACACGAATATCATCAGCAAAATAAATCCAAGACTAATTCCTTAAAGCCTAGAGCTCTTCCACTGTGATTTTAAATTACACAAACATGCTTTTCATGTACCTGAGATCTTTGTCTTAAACTTTTATCTTTTCTAGAAGACCTCCTCTATTTTCATTAATGAAATGTTCTTTTCAATAAAAAAGTCATCTCTACTTAAAAAAAACAAACCGCAGACCCCCCAAAAGTATGATATTGCCGCTTGATTGTTTGCTAAGTTCTAATAGCTATTTCAAAAATAACCTTCCTTGTTCTCTTGAATCTTGTGTAGCAAAGATCCTCTCCAGTAGAACCGAGGTTATCGTCTAGAAGAAAAAAAAAAAAATGCCTGTCTGTCTCTTCCCTTTCAGGAACAAGGAACATGGATGCCCAGTGTACTCATTCATAGAATTTAGCTTGCGTGATCATCAGACAGCAAAGAGACTTTTTGTTTGTTTGCTTGTTTTTGCTTTTTCCCCAAATTGGCAGAATTTTCACCTCCCAAAATGTGGGGCATATGTACAAGAGATTTTCCTAAGTTACTGTTGTTGTTGTTTCCAAAACAGTGGGAGTTTTTGTGCTTTCTGTTGAAATAACAAATGATCTTTGTTTTGTCCCTTTTTTCCTCAGCTGACCTGAATAATGTCAGGTTCTCAGCTTATAGGACTGCCATGAAACTCCGAAGACTGCAGAAGGCCCTTTGCTGTGAGTATTAACTGGTGCCTGAAACACATGATGGTTCCTCTTGGCTTTAAAAAAAAAAAAAAAAGTGGGTCCAGGGGTATTTCCACTTGGAGAGGGGAGAAATAGCTCTCGCAAGTCCAGCTATAACATAGAATTCCCTTTTTAAAAATCTCTTTGGCCTCGTGTGCCCTAAACTGTTTTGTTAGACTGTTAAGAATCTCTCCTGTCACCATTCATTCCTCAGCTACTGATGTTGAATTGATAAGATATTGATAATTTATATTTTCCAACTAAGGGCACTGGCATCCAGAGTTACCTTTATGAAACTTGAAATCTTTCCCCCTCTCCTACCTTTATTTCTTCTTCTAAAATGTATTTTAATGGTATTCTACATCTGCCTTAGCCAAACCACATTGCGCAGGTGTGAGTAGGTTATTAGCTTGAATGCCAGGGTTCGGATGGATGCCGTGATGGAGGACAGATGACAGGTTAGTTTCTCTGCTTTTGCTCATTATCATACAGCAGTGGGGGAAATCCGGAAGTGTCCTATAGTTCCATGTCTTCATCTCATGGTTTATGTATAACCATCCGTTATCATCACAGTTAATTAGAACATGTTGTTTGAAGGCCTGATTGATGATAGAGCCATGAAACAGACAGGCATTGCCCCAGTCCCTACCCTGATGGCCCTTGTAGTCTAATGAGGGAGATTAAGGGTGTCCATAAAGTCTGGAGACATAGGTGAATGTATATAAGATCATTGTGAATGTGCACAGTCTGTTAAAAAAGAGAAATCAAGTGATACCGTGTCTTTGCCACACTTGATGGGCACCTGGAGGAAAAGTGAAGAGATGGTTTCAAAGGCCTATATTTAGCCGTGTGACAGTGGAAGAATGGGGTACTATGAGAACAGCTAGTTGCGGGGGTGAGGTTCAGAGAGGCTTTGCTGGAAGAGGTGGTACCTAAGTTCTGTGCGTCCCGGAGGGTTAGTAGAGCTCACTCTAGGAGGAGTGTTCTAGTCAGAAGGAATAGCGCGTGCTGATGCCTTCAGGAACTGAAAGTACTTGAGCACAGCGGGAGCACAGAGTCCCAAGGAGGGGCTGTGGTGAAACATTTGGTGGAGAGAGAAGTGGGAGGTGGATTGTAAAAGGTTTTTCAAATTTATGTCAAGAGTTGAGAGGTCAGTGGGGAGCCACGCAAGGGGGTGACACAATGGGATTTTCCTTGAGAAAGGTCATCATGGCCATGCAATAGAGTGTGGATTGAGGGCGGGGGTTGTGCAGCTGACGAGAGGGACTGGTGGAGCAGTTCTGGGCACTGGAGGAAAGGAGAGAGGTGGAGACAACTGAGACACACGTAACAGGTGACATTCACAGGCCTTAGTGATGAACTTGATGGGGTGGGTGAGGGGAACTCAAGAGAAGCTATGAGGTGCTCGCTTGGGGGAATGGTGCACTTGCCTGGGAGAGGTGGACGTGAAGCTGTGATGCTCAGGAGAAATAGACAAATAATATTTAGGACTCTTCAGCATGTAGAGGCTCAGGGAGAGCATGCACAGGAAGAGGAGAGTATGTAGGCTGTAAGAGGGAATTGCCAAGAAGTGGCCAGAGGGGGAGAAGGAAGATACCAAAAACTCTAGTGCCATGTACTGTGTGGGAGGAAAGAAGTGGCCGGCCACCAGGGGCAGGTGGGCAGGGAGGTCAGCATGGAGTTGGTGCAAGTGCCCATTGGATTTAGCAACAAGGAGGTCCTTACTAACTTCAGTGAGATTCTCAGAAGCATGGTGGAGATGGCGAGGTGGGCTTAAATCGGAAGCGGATGTAAAGACCATACCGCCTGGTCGGTATGGTCAGTTATTGGAGAAATTTAGTTTGAAAGGGGGAGGGAAAGGGGGGTGGCAGTTGGCTGCCATGGACGGAGGCGTTAATGAAGTATACATACTTATAAGTTGAGAGACACTTGAGTCCATTTAAATGAAGACGAGAAGAAGAGAGAACAAGATAATAAAAAATGGGACTTCTCAGAGCATAGGGGAGGTAATCTAGGAGCCAAGAGAAAGCAGGGGCATCTCTCTTCCACTGTAATGCGGGGGGAGAGGGCGAGGCAGGGATCTGTGCAGGTCCGGGTAGCTAAGGAGATCTAGGGGCCGGAGGGTGCAGGAAGCCATGTGGAGGTTTGTTTTCTGCGTGGAGATAGAGTTCCTCTGCCGCAGTTGGGAGCGGAGGGTGATAGGGTTGTGAGTGGGTTCACCTTTCTGGAGAAGAAGAGAGAAGAGGGCTGATGTGAGCAGGAGTCCAGTGCACTCGGTGTTCTGTAGCAGTACCAAGCTGCGCGGGTGTGGGATTGCTCGGGGCTCACTCAGTACTCAGGAGCCGGATGGGTCCATCACAGGTGGGTACACAACAGCTGGGCAAGAGAGGGGGGGATTTGGGCAAAAGAGTGGTTAAGTAGCTGAAGTGCTGTCTGTCAAGGCCACGTTGTCATGTGGAAGATGGTAGTCAGGAGGTAGAGGGATCAAGGGGCTGACTGTTGAGGGAGGCATAGGAAGAGGTGGTGTGGAAGTAACTGGAAGGCTGGCAAGTTGTGGTCAGAGAGTAGCATAGCTAAACATTGTTTCACGAGTGGAACAGGTCCAGGTGACTGCGTCTTGGCTATGACCATTTGAGTGGGTGGTGTAGATGTGAACTTGCATGGAGATGAAACAGGAAGTTAGGGGAGTGAGTCAAGAGTGATGCCCCAGTCATCCCTGCCCATGTTGAAAACATCCAGAATCGGGGCCAGAACCAGGCAAGAGAGAACTGTGAACCTGGGCTGCCAAGCCTTCGGGAATGAAGGCGCCTGACCAGAGGTCTGCAGAGGCTAACAGGCAGTCAAGGACGGTTGCTGGCGTGTGGCTTTTTACCCAGAGAGGGAGAAGAAATGTTCCAGAAGTGAAATTACTTGGGAGGAGAGAGTCAGCTTTTCCTCTTTATCTGGGCCTCTCCAGTCCTTAGCCCAAAGCCCAGCACACGGTAGGTAGGGTTTCATATGTTTCCATGGAATGGATGCATGAGCAAAAGTAAATTGAGGCTTCCATTTCTTTACAGCTTATAGTCTGAAGCTATCGTTTTTTCAGCTATATAGCTGCCAAGTTTAAGTGGTTTTTAAAGGTCTCCCCAGACCTGGGATTTCCTCAGGGACCTGTTAACGTACCGTAGCTGGAAAGAGGCCCATTGGGGTGGGGCGGAGTCGGAGAGCTGGGCGGAGAAAGTCTTCTGCCTCTTTTTCTTCTCTTGGCCCTGCCCCATCCCAGAGATAATGCTTTCCATTGATAAAGGGGTAATTATGAACCTGTTACTGTAAAGCATTATTATAATAGAGTATCATCCTGTGAGATCCTAAAAGTTCAAAAAGGATAATCAGCTGTTTCAGGTTATACTTTGAAAAAGCCCAGAAGTAGACAAAATGGAAAACCTTCTGGTGGCTGTCCTTTTCTGTAATGTTGCTTTGTCCCTTGGATTTAGGCATTACCCACTGCTGCTGTTAAAAAATAATTCTGTTCGGGTGCCTGGGTGGCTCAGTTGGTTAAGCGACTGCCTTCGGCTCAGGTCATGATCCTGGAGTCCCAGGATCGAGTCCTGCATCGGGCTCCCTGCTCAGCGGGGAGTCTGCTTCTCCCTCTGGCCCTCCGCCTCTCATGTGCTCTCTCTCTCTCTCTCAAATAAATAAATAAAATCTTTAAAAAAAAAAATAATTCTGTTCATAAATATCTCATTTTATCATTTCAGTTTATGTTAAAACTTCCAATAAATGTTGGGAAAATGGGGGAATTTGATATTACAAAAAAGTTTGGCCGTTTGAGGTTATATATAGCCTTGGAGTAGAGTTAAGCTCTGAGGGTAGGATGTAGAATTTCCACTTTGAAACAGATTTGAAATTCTCAGCCTTTGCTTCCTGAGCATGACTTTTCTCCCATTTGAAAAAGATTTAGGTACAGCCAAATTAGGGTGTGTATTTACCTAAATTACATACTGGATTCTCAAGAATGGCAGGAGAGTTAAACATATCGTATGATTACAGAATGAAGAGTTCGCCAGGCCCTTTATTCTTGAAAACATGTGTGGTCATATTACTTAACTAACCAGTAGATGATTTATGAATTTCCTCTTAATTTGATGTTTGCTTAGGTTTATCTTCTGGCCTTTCTGTCATTTCAGTGCCTGCAAAGCCATGATCAAGAGCTATTGTCTGTGGTACAGGCAAATAAAACTTGGCCTGGCTAGCTCTTCCAACTGAAGGTCGCTTCTACCAACCTTGGCTTTAATGAAAACTAATGATGTTACCTCAGTGATGTCCTCATGCCAGGGAAGAGTTTGAATAACTGATGTTTTAGGAAATAGGCAGTGCTCCTGCCATTATGCTTTTGGTCGTCTTTTTGCACTTTGCTATCAAAACTTCAATATTGCAGAAACCCGAATAACATAATTTTATCCACTATCGAGAATTTGCTATTTAAGTTGCAAGCTTCACCATTGGCCTGTAATGTCCCCAGTTTGTAATCGGTTTAATGTTGCATGACTCCATACTGCCTTTCAACACACTGTGAGTGAAAATGAAACTCGGCAGAAAAGCAGAGACAAAGAGAAAATCTTGGTAAGAGGGATTTGTAAGCTGCTTCCTACGGCTGATACCAACCCCGCCCCCCTGCCCCCGAGAGTTAGGAGGAATATAATCTAAACTTTTTCTTGGTCAGTCTCTAGTTCTGATGACATCCTAAAGGTGTGTGGCTTCTACAATTAAAAATTTAGCCAACTTTTGGGGCGCCTGGGTGGCTCAGTTGGTTGAGCGACTACCTTCGGCTCAGATCATGATCCTGGAGTCCCGGGATCGAGTCCCGCATCGGGCTCCCTGCTCAGCGGGGGGTCTGCTTCTCCCTCTGACCCTCTTCCCTCTCGTGCTCTC